TGACGAGGCCGAGGATTTGCAGTCCAGTCTGTGAGTATCGGGGGAGTGTTGGATCCTCGGGATAAGCTGCTTCGTCTCCCGCTTCTGGATCGGGTATGAAATTTGGCCATATCCGTTCTGCTTCGTTTGTGTTGACTGTCGCAGGTGTTTCGTAACCGTTGTCGGCGAAGTGATAGAAGACTTCGGCGTTGGCACTGTCGCGAGGATTGTCTTCGTCCATGGGCACGTCGACGGAGCAGTACGGGAGAGGTCCGGTTTCTTCCGATGCGTTGTCGACGTTCTGTTCATCCCAGTCTGCTTCGTCCGCTGCTGAGGCGAAGGCTCGGTCACCACGAAAACCATTTGTGGGGTCTTGATTCTCGTGCAAGTTGGCGAGGTACGTTTGAAGGGTGAGTCGCTCGTAGAAGATCACATCACGTGCTGCTACTGTTTCCTTTGAGTGGACATCGAAAATTTTCCACGCGTTGTATTTTTTCTCGATGCCGAGGTGTAGTCCCCACTGTGCCCGTTGTGAAAATCTTCCCGCTCGTGCTTCTGGGGGTCGGTACTGCACCATGCATCCGAAAACTCGTAACATTCTTGTGCTGCCCTGCTTTCCTGTCCACAGCAGATGCGGTGATGCGTTGTTTGGGAGTGACGACGACGACAGCAAGTTGTGCAGCATGACAGCATGGTCCATTGCTGCAGGCCACTGGTGGTTGGGTAGCCGCATGCCACGTAGCAATTTGCACATGCTGTTCTGCAGAGTCCTGTTCATTCTTTCTGCAACACCTTGCTGCTGATGGGCGTAGGGAAGGGAGAGAAGTTGCTTGATTCCCCTTTCCGTCAGGTACTGCTTGAAGCGCTGAGAGGTGTATTCTCCCCCTCCGTCTGACTGGAAGCTTTTCAGCTGTGTTCCTGACTCCCTCTCTGCTACCGGTAGCCAAGCGGCGAACGCTGCGAGTGCCATGTCACGGCTGGGTAGGTTTCGATGCCAGACGTATCGAGTGGCGACGTCGATGAAGGTTATTGTGTAATTGTAGGTGACTTGTCCTGGTTCTCGATTGAAGAGGATGTCGCTGTAAACTTTCTCGAGTGGTGCGTATGCAGGTGCGCTCGGGTTGTGGTGAGAAGAAAACGGTCGATGGGGTAAGTCGGCTTCGGGGCAGATGAGACAAGTTCCTCGTGCCCGTTGAAGTTCTCTGCCGTCGGGTAGTAGTAGCGAATCTTTGTCGAGGACTCCTGCTCGTATTGTGTTATTTAATACTGTGTTGCTTGGATGTCCTGTGCGTGCGTGCCAGATGTCTTCAGGAGCGCGATGTCCGGGTGAGCGTTGATACGCGTCGGAGTTGGAGTAGAAGCTGGCAACGACATTGGCGCTTCTGTGGACTTCTCGTTGAGTCGGGTTCAGTTGCTGTGCGGGTGTTGGTGGTGCTTCGTGGACGATGACTGGTGTCGTTGGTCCTACTGCTGCCGATGATGTTTCTGCTGCTGTCGATGTTGTCTCTGCTGCTGCCGATGTTGTTTCTGCTGCTGCCGATGTTGTCTCTGCTGCTGCCGTTTGTTGAATTGTTGCTAACGCTCGTGTTCGTTCTGCTTCAGGGATGGTGTGCGAGCACCAGAAACCTCCCGGGCTGAAGTCGGGATCGAGATCCGGGGGATGTGTCCAATCGGCGAAGTTGACGATGGCGTCGCTATCTGCAGTGCCAAGGTCGGGGACGAAATCGAGGACGAAGACGTTGTTCTTCAAAACTGCTCTTCCGATGTAGAGGCCGCCCTTCCCGTGGTACAGTTTAAACTCCTGGGTGGTGCTGTCGGCTTCCAAGTGGATGCCTTTCGCCATCAGCTGGCTGACACTCAGTAATTTATAACCGAGTCCTTCTGCGATGAGTACCTTTGACATGTGCAGTATGACGTTTGTCTCTCTTGATTGAAGTTGAACTACTCCTTGTCGTGTGCGCAGGTTCTGGTTGTTGGCGACCGTGATGACTACTTCTCGCTGGAGTCGATGTTCGCGTTGAACAAAGCGTCCCGAGGAGCACATATGTTGTCCGCAGCAACTGTCCAGAAACCAGGTGTCTTGCCCGGACGGTTCGCTTTGAGCGATGGCGGCGTACGTCGGATTCGGTTGGAGTGACTCGCGGCGAGGCGTCCTGTTCTCGAGCTCTTCTTCCGGTGAGTAGTGAGGTGGTGATTTGGTTGTGCACGAATCAGTTATCTTCACCATGCAATTGACAATGTTTCTTGCTCCTTGTGCAGATTGTCCTGTTGGAGTCGTTGAAGCTTGGATTGAGGTCGTCGGATTTGCTTGTGTTGAGGCAACTTGGGAGCTTGAAGGCCGGAGTTGTCGCTGTGGTGTTGTCTGACGAGACGGGCAGTGCGTGCGAGGGTGTCCCGAAGTCTTGCAGATGTGGCAAAACGGAGGTACCGTCTTCACTTGTTGCTGTTGTCGATTGTTGTTGTTGTTGTATCATCGCTGAGTGTGAAACGCAAACTCCGGTGCTAATGTTTTCTTCTTGTGTCTTTCTTCTTGCAGGTCCATGTCCTGCTGCTCGGCATGGATTTCGGCGCAAAGTGCCGCTTCGGAAATCCTCTCGTGTGCTCGTAATATGGCGCGAGTGGAGCGCCAGTGGGGGCCGAGACCGCCGATGACCACCGTGACAAAGGCGTCTTCTGAAATCGACCCTCCGCATCGAAGAAGCTTGTCGCACAGTTCGCGGCAGCGGCTGATATAAGCCATGCCTTTCTCGCCTGGTTTCATTTCAATTGTTGTCAACTACGCCATTAACCTGCTTTGATTTACGCTGTCTGTTGCTTGATACAGGTTCTTCAGGTGGTTGTACGCGAGCTCCGCGAAGTTGCCGTAGCCTCGGTAAGTCCTGATGTTCTGCTGCTGGGACGGGGTGATGTTTCTTAGCAGTATCGTGTACGCCATCATTGATTGATAGGTGTACTGCTGCTTCTCATATTGTGTCCCGTTTGTTGGATATGGCAGGGACCCGTCGAAGAAGCCGAGAATCTGTGCTCCTTCCATCATCAGATCGAACTCGAACGACCAGGTGAAGAAGTCTTTTCCGTCGAAAGGCTTTGTCGTTTGCAGCTTGAGAACATGCGCGAATTGCGATTGAACTTGTAATGCGTCCAATGCCCTTTCTTGTCCCGGTGCAGATTGCGGTTGCGGCATGAAGCTGACGGAGCCACGCTGGGGCTCGTACGGCGCAAAGGTAGGCTGCTGTTTTTGTTGTTGAATTCCGCGTGCGTAGGATGAGCCGTCGAGACTCATAGGAGTTACGTTGTTGTTGTTGCTGTTGTTTGACTGCGCAGGTACTCCTTGCTGGTGCTGCTCGTAGAAGGACATGAAGGAGAAGAATTTCTCCATCATGCTTGGATCGAAGCCTGCGGGCGTTTCCGTAGACCCAGCTGCTGGTCTCGTCTCGTGGTAGTCCCTTTTTCCGTCTGTAGACCAGAGACAGGAGGTGGAGTAGGGGTAGTGCCTGGAGAACCGTTGGAGGAGCTCCTCTCCTTCCTGGTAGACATATCTTCCTTGTATTAAGTATTAAGAGAAAAGGTAACTTTGAACTCTGTCTGCTCTCATACCATGTTGGGCTGAGATGCCCTAGGATCTTTGTAGAGTTAAAGTCTAAGTAGGATTGTAATAGCGGAAGCGTTTGAATGAAAAGTCCTTGAACCACCTTGCACTAGTATGTGAGGGCAAAGTAAGTTAATTAAAACAAGCAAATACAAGGCTTTATATAAGACTACAAGGAATACGAATAGATATAATTAAACTGTTTTGCTGTTGCGATTCGATACTGTGCGACTCGGGCAACTGCTCAATGTCGAATCAGTTGTGTGTCCTTGCTGTCGCGCTGTATTTGTCAAGTCAAAGGTCGCTGACTTTTGACCTTCGCGTAACCTCCAGGCGGTTACCCTAACCTCCGAGGGCTGACTCGCGATGCTTCGATTTGGACTGCTTTGCTTGTGTCCTGAGTTTCGACACGACAGAGGCGCTTTAAGACTTATTGTTCCCAACAGATGCCAGCCTAGCACTTGCTAGCTCGCACGCACCACGTTACCGTTTGCATGCTTCGCGTATAAATGCTCGCTCATGCCTTCACTCACATTTTTTACTCAATTGACACACTGTGCAATCCTCGCTACCTCGATTCATTGCACCCGTAACAATGCTGATCGAGCACCCTACGCAAAGAACATCTTAAAGGAAAGAACAACAAATCCATCCACTCGTCCAATCTCTCTACAATCAATATTGGGGATAACCGAAACCGACATACAATCAATCTTTCCCTCCCTCCCGCCCTCGTTCCCATCCCAACTGTCGTCCTTCCCAAGCGATTCGACGCATACACGTTTGGATGACCTGACCTGACAACGAGGTCCGCCCGAATCGAACATGTGTTCGTCAAATCATGAGGAAAACTTTGCCACGCTGGACTAATCCGTGCACTTTTCCTTGTCCATGCATCCCAGGCACACGACATGACCCTAGTCAGTTGCTTCCTTTCCAATCTCCTAGCTGGAAGGTGTTTCGTGAAAGCGCGCCTATATTCCCGGCTCTATTCATCGGCGTCACGATACTGTACTACGTGTAGCGCTGTTCATGCGGGTTGGCCATGGCAAACCCTAGCAGCGGCGGTCGATGGCTTGTGGCACGGCACACAAGGAAACGCAGGTTTTTGCAGACGCGGCAAAAAATGCTCCGAAACGAAATAAGAGAGACAGTGCGCCGCGCCGCGCCACTCCTCGCCGTGCTTCGTCGTCCAAAGGGCTTGCAGATCGTAGTAACCTGTTTGGGTCGGGACGGGACCGACTTCAATCATGTTAGTAACCAATGTAACATGATTGGACCATTCATTCTATCCGTACGACGTCGCCCAATGTCAGCCTACAGATGTTTGTACCGCGCCACACGAGAGCTTACTAATAGAAGAGTGTTCTCGGCGAAGCCCTTCGGCTTAGTAACAGATTAGTAACAATTGAACTACTCTGCCGCTAAAAAGATGGTCGCAATTAGGTCTGTTAGCCCGTCGCTCCCGCTCCTAGTAATACTCTTCCTCCTCATAGCTTCCTCGTCCTCTCCCCACTCGCCTTGCTCAGCCACCCGCGCCGCTACCATCGGCGCGCAGTTGCCACCTGCCCCAGTTCCGCCCGTGACCAGGAACCGCGATGCGAACAGTACCAGCGTCTACACTCTTCTGCCCCGCGCGTGGCACCCACCGTTGATCCTCTCCTTTACTCATGAAGCAGTGCAGTCGCCGCGTCAGCGCCACGTTTTCGGGCGGAAGTCGGGGCGGCCCGTAGAAGCGGCGGAAGTTTTTCCGCAGTCTGCGGATTGGCGGGCGCCGGAGTCAGCCGCGCGCGGGCGCTCCCTGGCGGCTTCCGCCGCCGCCAGCGGCGCCGACGAGGGCGAGTGCGACGTAGAGTGGATGCTGCTGTGGCCGGCGCGACAGGGATGCTGGCGGCCGCGCATGACGGCGCAAGGCAGAACTTCCGCGCGCGTGACTTCCGCCACCTCCTCCTCCGCGCACCGCCAAGCTACCACGCAAAGCCTGACTTCCGCAGGCGCTGTGATCGCGCAGGCTTCCGCGCCTCCCCCTTCCCCTCCCGACGACCGGCCAGGCGACGGGGATGGGGGGAGCACTCCGCCCGCGGGGAACGAGGCGCGGCTGACACCCGACAATGAGATCATCGGCGTGTGCCGATTCGGAGGTGAGATATCCGCGATATAGAGTTGTGACGTCCTTCAAAGAACAGGAGGACCCTGTGAAGGGGGGGGATACTCCCATTGGACTAGGGCTGCGGCCAACGGGGGGTCAATAGGGGCGGCGGAGGGTCTATGTGGGCAACGGATGGGGAATGAGGGCAAGGGAGGGGCAATGGGGGCAATGAGGGCGGCAATGGGAGGGGGGGGGGCAATGATCATGGCAATGCTCCGCAATTGATCGCATGATGATGCGATCATACGCGCGTGCAGGTCTGGGAGGGAGGTATCCGCGTTTAGAGTCGAGGTGGGTGGATGAGCAGGAGAGAAAACGCTGTAAGTGTTGAGCCAGAGCAGGTGGCAGCAAACGATGTTCTCATTATAGCCAGCATCGCAGTTAGTGTTAGACCATCTTCGTCATGCCCTCGCTGTGCCCCCGCTGTGCCCCCACTGTGCCCCCGCTGTGCCTTGAGTCCCGTTGGCTGGCTCAATATCTTCTCTCCTTTCCTTCCCAACGTCTTCTTTCCGTCTCCTCCCCTTCACCTCTTTCTTCTCTCATTCCCTTTCGTTGCCGCGCAGCCCCCTCCACCATCACCATCGCCCTGGCTGGAACGGACAGACGTGGCGAGGCTGGGGCACTTCGCTGGCATGGTGAGTTGCTGAGCTGGCATGGTGAGTTGCTGATCTGACATGGTGAGTTGCTGATCTGGTATGGTGAGTTGCTGAGGTGGCATGGTGAGTCGCCTAGCTGGCATGGTTACCTGCTTAGCTGGCATGGTTCCATGTCTCATGTCTCATGTCTCATGTCCCTTGTCTCATGTCTCATGTCCGATGTCTCGTGTCCCATGTCCCATGTATCGTGTGCACGCACACTCTCCCACCTCCCATGCATCAATACCGCTTACCCCTTGCCCCTTGCCCTTTGCCCCTCCCAGGTTCGCCAACTACGTGGGCAAGCTGCCGGACGACCAGTTTGATCTCATAATGGATTTACTCCTCGACAAGGACAAGGGCATCGGACTCAACTTGGCCTGCTACCTCATTGGCAGCAGCGTCAACTACACCAACAGCCCCCAGTTCCTCACCGCCGCCTGGGAGACCCGCTCCATCCCCGGCTTCCGCGTCCAGCCAAACGGGCCGTACGACTGGACGGCGGACGGGCGGCAGAGGCGGACAATGCTCGCCGCCCTGGCGCGGAATGTGGACGAAGTTGAGGCGGTGTCGTACTCGCAGCCCTGGTGGATGACGGTCAGTGGGGACACTGCCGCGACAGAAACAGGCAAGTGCAACTTAAAGCCCGAGTACTTCCAGGCGTACACGGAGTATCAAGCTTCGGTGATCGAGCATTACCGCACGCACTGGAACGTGACTTTCTCGACCATGACCCCGGCGAATGAGGCGTTGGAGGGGTGGTGGACGCAGGGCCACAAGAACGAGGGGTGCAACTACAGCCCTGAGAAGCTGACCACTCTTATCCGGCTCCTCACAGCCACCTTAACGAGACTCAAGCTGCCGACAAAAGTCGCGGGGTTTGACAGTTTCGTCGGCGCGACTCTCCAGTACACGTTCAAGTTCCCTGCTGCGTTGAAGGCCGGCCTGTTTCGGCTGAATGTGCATGGGTACATAAACCCGCCGCCCAGCACGGCAGACACTCAGCAGTACATGGAAGGTGTGATGGTGAGCATGCACCGCATGGCGACCGGACTAGGGAAGGAGGTGTGGGTGTCGGAGGTGGGGCCGATGTGGGTGAGCGGGAATGATTTCGGTGTGATGCTGTTCACGGCGCGGCAGATAGTGGAGACTGTCAACATCATGGGGGCTTCGGCCTGGATTTTCTGGCAGGCTGTGAGTGGGGTGGGAGGGAACAACCCATACGCGTTTCTGAAATGGGGGCTATTGGCGGTCAGGATCTACCGGCTGAACGACACAGAAGTCAAGCCGTTGGATCTGGTGATCTCCAAGAAGCTCTACATGCTGCAGCAGTTTGTGCGTGGGGCGCCGAGAGGAAGCCTGCCTTTGCGAATCCACACATCGGACGGGTGCCAGCACTGCATTGCCGCCTTCTTCCACCCCGACCAGCACTTCGTTTCGATATTCATCGTCAACCAGCGCGACACAACACACACAGCGACATTTTCATTCGAGGATTTCGTGCCGTTTGACGCGGGGCAGGAGTGTGTGTTGGAGACGTATCGCACGTCAGCGACGGAAAATAACACGCTGGTGGCGACTCAAAGTTACACAGACGTGCCAGCTTTGATACAGGTGGCGGCGCTGGGCAGCTCGATGACTTCTGTGGTGCTGCGGAATGTGGACCCCGCGTACGGATGTGCTGCTTGCAGGGATGGTGCATTTTACATCGGAGTGCTTAGCATTGAATTTAGGGGTCTTAGCATAGCGCTGCATCAGTACTGCTGGCTGCAGGGTTTGACGCGGGTCAGGCGGGTGTGGTGCGCACGTCAGCCACGGAGAACAGCACGCTATCCGGAGGGAGCTACTCCGATGTACAGGTGGCTGCGCTGGCCTGGTCTTTTGCATCTGTGGTGCTGCACAAGTTGGCTGGCCCTTGCATCCTGCAGCAATGGTGCTGGTTGGAGAGTTACACAAGGCAGAGCCGCTCACAAGTGCTGCGTGTGCTGCGCAAAGTGCACACCACGCGTATTGGCATACATAGTGATGATGGCATGGCATTGGTCGAGAGAGCAGAGCTGCTCTTTAAAGCCGAGTCTACAAGTGGCTGCACTGGGCTATATGAATCCTGTGTAGCGATGGCATGATCACAAGGGAGGGAGCTGCTCCTCCGGCCAGGTCGTCGGTACAAGGGGCTGCAGGCTGCGGCCTCGTGGCAGGCAGCCATTGCACAGCCTTGCACAATTGGGACTCCCTGCGGTTGCACAGTTACCACTAGTTAACTAGAATAAGTATTCACCCTGCCTAGTGCAGGCGGGGTTACTAGCAAGGACCACAGAACAGAGCTATGATGCCGTGTACGCGGACCCTGCATAGCATAGCAAAAAGTATCACGTTGTTAGTACATAAGGTATTGTCCCCTGCGTTGTTGCCTGAACCATCTGGGTGTATGGTTAGAGAAAGCAGAGCTGTGCATTCTGGTTTTGAGATGGAAAATTGTGTGCCAGGTGTCTACAGCTGTTCATGTGTACCGGTAAGGGGATTTGCGTGTGGATGACACATGCATGTGCTTGTTGATCAAAGAAGGTGCTTCAGGTCAAACCTACTAAGGTAAACTACGGTAAGGTACCATCAACGCTATACATTAGCATTGCAGCCAGCGCTAGGGTGACTAGCAAAGCATCAGTAAAAAAACATCAGCGACAATTGCACACCTGAAGCGTACAACTATAACTTATGCCACAGCTAATCTCACACCACCATGGCAGAAGCTGCCTCCACGCCTGCCCTCAGATCCGAGCCTACACTGAAACCCAGACCTGCTTCCGAGCCTGTCCTCAAACCTGCCACGCTGGTGTGGCAATGCCGGAGGATCCAAGGATGAAAGAGGATTTGCGCGGCAGTGGGACGCTGCTGGGGGTTCCTCTGCAGCAGGCACAGCACAAGCCGCTTTGCCTCCTCCGACACTCCCGCCCACTCCTCGCCACTTAAATCCACCACGCCTTTCAGCACCTCCACAAACACGTCCTTATCCGTCGGGCCCCAGAAAGGCGGCGCCCCGCAGAGCAAGATGTATAGAATCACGCCCAGAGACCACACGTCGGCTTCTAACGCGTATTCGCCTAGGAGGACCTCAGGAGCCATGTAGAACGGCGATCCCGCGACGCCCATTGCGCGATTGCCTGATTGCAGGGGAACCGCAAGGCCGAAATCCGCGAGTTTTGTGGTTAGCGGTGCGGTGGAGAACGGTGCGGAGGGGTCGCGCGTGAGCAGGATGTTTTCCGGCTTGAGATCGCGGTGGAGGACGCCTCGCGCGTGGCAGTGTGCGACGGCCGATGCGACCTGTGCGAACACGTTCGCAGCGTCGCGTTCACTCAGTCGCCCGCGTCGCACGACTTCGTCGAACAGTTCGCCGCCTTCGCACAGATCCATGACTAAATGCACTGAATGCTCGTCCTCGAAAACTCCGCGCAATTGCACCACCCCGGGATGCGCCACCCCCTGCGTCTCCCCAGCTCCGCTTCCGCCAACCCGCTGCATCAGCGCAACTTCTCGCCGCACCTCCTCCTGCTCCGCCTCGCTTCTAAGCCTGTCCTTGGAGATCGTCTTGCACGCGAAGCGCGCGCCTGTAAGCCGCTCGGTGCAGCGTCGCACGGTCCCGAACTGGCCGGTTCCTAAGACATGAGAGTCTAACGAAAAGAATGATTCGAGAGGGGCTGTTTGGAACGGAAGGACTTGACCATGCGACGACGGCGACAATGGCGACGTTGGCGACGAGCAGCGATCCTGGGCTTGGTCGACCCATCGCAGCTGTGATTCAGGCTGCGACGAGGCGTCGGGCTGATGTTGCTGTTTCCTCTGCGACCTTACGGTATGCGACTTGCGAGTGTCTCGCACGCTGCTGCGATCTGTTGGTGCTTGCAGAGAGAAGTGGGCCATTATGGCTGATCGAATCTGATAGAGCAGTTAGAAGCTTGAAGGAAGAGTGGGTGCTAGTAGCGACTACGGCGACCAGTACTTGAAAATATCAACGAGTTAAGTAAATGCCGCAGACAAGTTCGTACCGGGAGTTCGAGCAGCGAGTGCTAAGAAACAACCAGATGCAGAAGGACTTGAGTTTCCGGATTCTGTGTTGAGTACCTGGCATGGCTGCTGCATACTTATGCGTGAGCGTGACGGTGAGATTTCTCTCGGCCTTTCCAGAACGAGCCGCTCCAAGACTCTCCAAGTCGCGATCCTTCTGGTTGCTTCTGGCTCACGCTCGCGCCTTCCATTTTCTCTGTTCGACAATGCCAAGTCAGTCGTCGTGGTTGTGCGAACCGCAGGTTACCCTTACTGCCAATCAGCGATTCGTGCAGCTGTCTCGTTTGAGCCCACACCTGTCGCCTAGTAGTCGTCGTCGAGTCTGTCGGTGTCGTCGGAAGCAACGAACGAAGGTCAACGAAGGGTGCAGAGAGCCTTCGCGCGAGGTCACTTTCGTTTCTGTGACGCCTGTCAGTTGCTCGGCGGAAGTAAAAAGGCGAGGATTTTTGTTCGAGTGTGGCGTGGCAATGTGCTCTGATTGGTCTCGCTCCGCCAACCTCAACTTTGGGTCGGCTCTGGACTGCACGGCACGGCAGACGTCAATTCACATAACCGTCGCAGAAAGATGACCGAGGCTTCCATGCGAAACACTTTCGCGGATATTTCAAGTCTGTACTCGTTACAGTCTGTGCTAAGCTGCTGGACAAGTGAAAGGAAAACATTGTCTCAAGGCCTTTCACCATAAGTTGTGCATCGAGTGTACCCTGACAGAAATCCCAGAATAGGGGCTTCTGCTTCCTTCAGACCTCGGCAGGTGTGTTGACAAGCATCACCCTTGTGGCCCTGTGTGGCTAAGTGAACTAACTTCGCTTGCCCCTCGACACTATCAGTGTCCATGGCACCCCCATTCCGCTGAGATAACGCCAACGGAATGGGCCTCCAAGCGTCGGCGTTCGTGGCATCGTGTGTACCTCCAACGTCGCCTAGCGATGCGACCCCCGTCGGCTTCCCCCACGCGCGTGCACCCTTTCGGCGCCGAACCAGCGAAACGGACGGCGAACCCAGCGAGGGTTCCCCACGCCGAGCCTGCCATCCAGTTTACCACTTCCATCGTGTTGTCTCGATGTCATCGCGTCGCATTGGCATCTCGCATATCCCATCCAGGGTTGACCAAATTTCCACGCCTGATGGCGGAGCGAGCGTCACCCGCTCCACGCCATGATCGTCACAGCGATCCATTTCGTCCTGTACTGTACCACCGCGCGCCAACTTTTCTCTCGCTCCTACCCACCCCATCCATCGCCTCGCCAGATGCGTGAGATCCTCTTCCCGCGAGCTCTTCGACGAATACCCCTTGCACGGGAGTTTGTCGCAATGAGACCTCTTTCTCCTTTCACGGAGTCCGTCAGTGGCAGGTGTTCTCGCAGCTCGCTTCGTCCTCAGGCTGCTCGCAGCTGTGCTCCGGTTTCGAACCGGGTTGTCAAGCGCTTTCCCTTGCACGCGAGGCGTTGCACCAGTTCTGCTCGCAGTCTGGTTTTGCCATCTCCTTTCACTTGCAGCTTTGCGGCTTACACTCTCTCAAGTCGAATTGGCACAGTGAACTAGCAGTACTGGTTTCCAGTAGCACCATCAGCACCGGGAGGTGATTGCGATCGGCTTCTTGCCTGGCGGCGATTAGTTTCGCAGCGGGCAAAGTATTTTTACTACTTAACTACCTGCCATGTTGTCGCGGAGTTGTCGCATCCTATCGCTGGTAGAACTGGCGACAGCCCCTCCGCCCCTCCAGCTCCACCCGCGCCCTTGCCCCCCTTGCCTTTGCCAGAGCGGCGTCTCCCACTAGGGGCAGACGCCGCGCCAACCGACTCGAGACCAAGCAGGTCGGCAGCAGCAGCAGAGGCAACAGAGGGCAGGAGGGGGGAAGGAGAGCACCCCTCAAAGATGGGGGTGCGAGGGTCACCACGAGAAGCTCCTACAGCGACGATGCGCTTCTCCGCCGCTAGGAGGGCCTTCTCGAGGATGTCGATGGTGAGGGTGGTGGGACAGACCGCGAGAAAGTGGTCCCTGACTACGCGAAGAGAGTCAGGGAGGCGCGCGACTACGTAGTAGAGAGTGATCTACATGGGGGGGGGGTTCTTGGTGCAGAACTCAGCAGGAAGGGCGGCGCGGTAGCGAGTGTCACTAGTGCGGAGGTGCGTAATGAGGTCAGCGACAGTGGGAAAGGCAGAGAGGTCAGGAAAGAGGTAGGGAAGCATGAGACGGCTCAGTGCAGCAGTGGCAGGGGAGGAGTAGCGCGCGACTACAGCGTCGTACAAGGTCTGAGCACTCTTGTACTGACTAAAGTGCGCGCGCTCAGAGGTAGGGAGGTGGGGACGCACAGCAAGACGTGCAGCAGCATCGCGGGTGGCCCACTGAGAGCGCACAGTGGGATCAGCATCAGCAGCAGGGGCAGGAGAGGCACCAGAAGTGAGGTCAAAGAGAGAAAGGCCGTCTGCTCTGTCGCACTGTAAGAACAGCTGCAGGTCGTCGACCTAGACCTCAAAGTCAATGGCGCGACCCTCAGCGTCAAAAGCTAGGACACTAGGGGTAGCCATGACAGCAGTAGAAGGTCTCACCAGACAGGTTGGGTCGGGCAGCGCAGTAGCACACTAGTACTGCAACACAGCAGCTCAACCGGCTCAGCAGCAACAGCAGCTCCGCAGGACCAGCGGCTCGGCTCCTCAGGCGGTGCAGGCGGCTCGGGCGGCGCAGGCGGCTCGGGCTGTCAGCGACACAGGGCGGCCCGGGGCTGGGACGGGCGGCGCGCGGGCGATCAGGGGCCGGGACGGGCGGCGCGCGGGCGTCGAGAGGCCGGGACGGGCGGCCAGCGGGCGGCTAGGGGCCGGGACGGCGGCGCGCTGGCGTCGAGGGGCCGGGACGGGCGGCCAGCGGGCGGCTAGGGGCCGGGACGGGCGGCCAGCAGGCGGCTAGGGGCCGGGACGGGCGGCGTGCGGGCGTCAAGGGGCCGGGACGGGCGGCCAGCGGGCGGCTAGGGGCCGGGACAGGCGGCGCGCGGGCGATCAGGGGCCGGGACGGGCGGCGCGCGGGCGTCGAGAGGCCGGGACGGGCGGCCAGTGGGCGGCTAGGGGCCGGGACGGCGGCGCGCGGGCGTTGAGGGGCCGGGACGGGCGGCCAGCGGGCGGCTAGGGGCCGGGACAGGCGGCGCGCGGGCGGCTAAGGGCCGGGACGGGCGGCGCGTGGGCGGCTAGGGGCCTAAACGGGCGCGCGCGGGCGGCTAAGGGCCTGAACGGGCGGCGCGTGGGTGGCTAGGGGCCGGGACGGGCGGCGCTTGGGCGGCTAGGGGCCTGAACAGGCGCGCGCGGGCGGCTAAGGGCCTGAACGGGCGGCGCGTGGGTGGCTAGGGGCCGGGACGGGCGGCGCTTGGGCGGCTAGGGGCCTGAACAGGCGCGCGCGGGCGGCTAGGGGCCTGAACGGGCGGCGCGTGGGCGGCTAGGGGCCGGGACAGGCGGCGCGTGGG